CAGCAGCCAATAAGAAAATGAGAATCAGAAATAATTATTTTAACTTGTATAAAAAAATACTGAACAACAAAAAACAAAAATTATGACAAAAAATGTAAGATGGCAAAAATGAAAAACATTGAATCCCATAAACTTCACTTTCAGCTTTCTGGGGCCCCATAGTCTTATTTCGAGCGTATTAAGATGTTTGCACTAGAACCCAGACAGAAATACTTGGTAAGATTTGGTGTTTTTGCGTCCTGAACGTCACATCGTTATAATTTTTGATGACCTTTACCCCTGCTTCCGCTCTCCTCAGCAGCTCCTGCCTCTCGGCCTTCAGGTGGCTGATTTCTGCCAAATGGGTCTGAACCTGGTTCTTTAATGCCTCCAGTTCCTGCAACACAGAAATAAAGACAAAACTCAGGTTCATTTTAAAACATCACTCAAAAGAAACATAAGTTCAAAATGGTGAAAGATTATATATTGTAATTTGTTTTTTATTATCAAATTAGACATACAATCAAAGGTAGATTTATATTTCCAAAAGGTCAATCAAATTTTCTGTAGATGGAATAATTTACTGAAAAATGTATTAGAGATACATCAGAAGAATGAATTTAAGAAAGTATTTAGAAAAAACAACTACTAGGCCTGGAACGATGATAAATTGTTCCAGTGATTATTGGGGAAAAACGATAATATTGTTATCGTGATTTTAAAGGAATATATTGATAATGGCATAATTGCCTGTCACAGACTTATAAACTTAAATTTTGTAAAGAACATTTAAACACCGGAAATGGAAAATATTTTAAATATCCAAAATAAAATCATAAATAAAATGCAGTATGAAGTCAGTCTAAAAAAAATTTCACTTCAGAAAATATCAAATTCAATTCCAAAATACTTTATTGATCCTAAAAGGAAATTAAATGAAGTAACTCAGTAATTCAAAATTATTCACTTTCATTCTTCATGTTAATTTATGATGTTATTGATTAATTGCTTGACAGCGATACTGAATCATTCTTATTAATCTAATGTGTTTTTCCCGTATAATTGTTGCTTAACATATGGAAGTAAATGTCCTTTCGTGGGTTTTCAAGCAGCATCATTCGTTTGTTTTGAACTTTATTTTTATTTTGAATGTATGTGATCGATCTGTGTTATATATTTTTAGTTGTTTTTGCTGAATGTTTCAACCAGAAGACAATCAAATGCAGGGACCTGCAACTAGTAGGGATGAAATAAATGAAGTTCATAAGAGCTTCTTTTACTTCCTGAGATTAAGGTTTTCCTTCTAAAGCAGGGGTGCCCAAAGTCGAGGGCCGGCATCCTGCATGTTTTAGTTCTCTCCTTAGTGGTTGTAACAATCTCCTCAGCAAGTCAATGTTCTGCTTAGGCCTCTAATGAGCCATCATTTGATCCAGGTGCATTAAGCCAGGGAGAGAACTAAAACATGCAGGATGCCAGGCCCTCCAGGACCCACTTTGGACACCCCTGTTCTAAAGTAAAGCTGACGTTGGTGAAGAGGTGGAAGTTGAGGTCATGAATCCCACCTGGAGAAGCTCAGTGTTGTCTGATCCTGCTGGACACTCAGCTGCTTTTGCTGCCGACTTCTGTATTAAAAACACACAAAAAAAACCCCATTTAAAAATCATGTTAACTCCACATGCAGAGCTGCACACAAATATGACTAATATGATGCAAATGTAAAGATTTTTCTTTTTAATACACATCCAGGTTGGGAAATTATGTAAATCCTATTTTAAACTAATTAATGTTGCCTAGTTGCTGCCACAGCTTTAAAAGGATCCATGATTAGTTTTAACATTAGAATTTCAGTAAAAAATTATTTTAAAAAAACAGTGCGGTAAAAAATACTTAAGGCCTTTTAGTTTATATAAATAAAAAATAGTCATTTTGTTTACGCTGAAATTCATTCTGTATAGACGTATGCTAGGTGCTACGGCGCTAGCTCTGTCCAGTCGGAGCAGTCATTTCTGATCGACGGGTTTCGTTCAGACCGAAATGAAGGAAAAGCAGAAATGAAATAGAAATTGAGGTGGCCCAAACAGAAAAAGGAGAGACTCAGATGGAAAATCCAGCATGTGTGCAGATGCTGCTTGGAAATGGCAATCCAAGAGTTTGAAGCTCTAGTTTCTAACTCAAACTGTTTACAACAGGGCATTACAAAGACTTAAAGAATGCTTCAATATCACTTAAACATCCACTCATTACCTTCCAATTTAGTTTGATTTTGCGTTAGCTCGCGCTAATGGCCTTAGCTAATGGCGTTAGCTCCTGCTAACATCGACAGCCACTGCTAAAGGTGTCAGATCCTCACAATGACATCAGCTACTGTTGATGGTGTAATGAAATAACACAAATAGAAGATGCAAAATGAAAAATTTAAGGTCTTTAGAACAGCTGAGCAGCGCCATGCTACTGACCAGGCTGTCGATTAGTGCATCTTTCTCGCTGAGCTGCGTCTGCAGGAGCGTCTGTTGCCTCCGGAGCTCCTCCAGCTCCTCCCTGAGCTGAGAAAGCTCCTCCGTCTGCAGCCCGTTCAACTGAGTGTCCCCCTGGCTAGACTGACTCTGGTTTTCCTTACCTGAACACAAAGACCAAAAACTGTCAGACAAATTATGTTCCTTCAGATGAAAAATATGATTTTATGTTCAGGAGCATGAATTAAGCTTATTAAATTTGATTCTGACTAAAATCAGGTAGAGACAGACCATGATCCTCCTCATTTAGACACCAACAGACGGACCCACCTAGCTTGAGTTTCAGGATGTTGTACTGGTCTTTGTGCTGCTGAATCTGAGACTGCTGCTGACTGACTGTAGCCTGCAGCTGTTCGGTCTGAGTCGTCATCGATGAAACTTTCTCCTTCAGCTCCTGAATCTGAGCGTCCTGATCATCAAATACAAAGAGACTCAACATGCTGGCAAAGAAAAAACACCTGAGGCAAAAACAATAAATCTTACCAAGTAATTTTCATATAGTTTCTAGTGAAAATATCTTAGTACAAATAAATAAGACAAAATTAACTTATAAGTAACTTTTCAGCAAGATATAGATCCCTGGCAGCAAAAATAAAAAAAGGCATCCAAAACACCAGCTCTGACAGATCATCAGTAGAGCAGGAGCTTAGATGAGCTAATCTACTGCTGTGGTAGATTAGCTAATAGCAGCAAGTAGCTAATCTAACACAGCATCACTTATTATTAACCGCAAAATAAACACCAAGCCTAAAAACATGAAACTGTAACGGACCAAATGTTCTGTTCTTTGTGTGGGAAATGTCTGGATCTTGATGTATATAGTGCCGTGGTTGTCAGTTGCTATGGCAACGAGTCTGTGTGTAGCGTAGCTGACACAGAGTGTGACAAAAAAAGAATACCAGCGGTTTTGAGTTGTTCAACGGTTTTTCTGCGTTATTTTTCCCTTTGTGTGCGCACTGCACTAAATTAATATTTACATCTCCAAGTTTCATTTTAAAAGGATTGTTCCCCTGCAGCAGCACAATGGCCAAAGAATCGTCTGTTTCTGGATGTAAACAACAACATGCAAAGGGCCTACAGGAGCTTGAGGTCAATAATTACTTGATATTGATGAAGTTCTAGTTCCCTGGATGATTATTTCACTTACAGCAAAACATTTTTCCCAAAAGTGAAAATGCCAATGGAATAAGTACTTCTAAGTACTTATTCCATATTATTTTTTTCTCAATAATACAGAATTATTGACTTAAACAAACCTCCTATTTCTAACTTAGTTTTGTCTTATTTAAAGTGTGCTGAGAAACTAGACCACAATTACTTGGTAAGATTTTGTATTTTTGCAGTGATTTGTTTATAGATTTCAGGAGTTACCTGTTCTCTGATCAACTCTTTGTACTGAGTTACAATGTTATCATGTTGCTCCAATGTCTTCTTCACCTCCTCTTCCTTCTTCTCCTCCTCACTGGACTTGTGGACAGCTTTGGTTATCAGACCTGTGTGCAGCAGAAAGAGAATCTGCATCTCTTCTGTCTGGTTGAATAAAAACCTTCCAGAAGGGCCGGTCTGCAGTGAGGACGGACCTTCCAGCTCTTTGAGCAGCCTGGTGAACTCGTGGTCGAACAGCATCTGTTCCGGAGACGGGAAAATGGGCTGCGGCTTCAGCGCCGCCCGCGAATACAGCTCATGTTTGGTGATGAAACCGAGCTTCTCCACAAAGTTTTCCTTCCCGATGCGCTTCTCGATCAGCTGCTTTAGCTTCTCCCTGAACGAGAAAATGAAAACTCTGAGCAGGTTGTTTTAAAGGAACACTCCACTGCAACAAAACAAAAAATCTTACCAGGTTATTTTTGGGACAAATTTGCTAACCAGTAACTTTCTGGACTGTCGATAGCCGATAATAGACATGGAAAAGGTAACATTTGCATTCAGTCCTTCTGAGAAGACAGCTCATCGTGTTCGTTCTCTGACACAGGGACACTTACTTGGTGTAGTTTTCCAGTGAGTTGTCGTTATAGTAGATGCAGATCCCGAGCAGGAGAGCGCACAGACCCTGGACGAGCCGTTCGTCTTCTCCCAGATTCTCTGAGATTTGAGCCGTCAGCTGCAGCAGCCCCAACGTCAAGGACCAACCCTCAGGATGAGCACTGCCGCAGGTTAACGGGGACATTTCAAACAAATTAAACTTATTCTTGCATAACTTTGGATAATTTTGGAGGCATTTTCTGTTTGTTTTTATTTTTTAAATAATTAGAGCAACAAATAAAGCTTTGACATCTTTTATGCAGCCAGGTCTCCGCTATCATAATTTATTTTTTTGTAGAAATTAATGCTGCAAAGGATTATTTTATTAAGTATTCTGACCATTAATTAGATAAAAAACTGGCATATTCTGCAGTTTTTTTATTTTATTACATATTTATACAATATTAGAAATGTATTAAAAGATCCAAATGAATTAAATTCCTATTTAAATACAAAAAACATTTTACTGCCTAAAATGCAACAGCATAGCATTCCTTTAAGCTTGATGATTTGTAGCAAAGGATTCAAACTTCTAACATCAGCAAGTGAAAAGTTCAGTCATTTCTGCTCGACTTAACATTAATACAGTTAAGGAAGTGTAGGAAGAATCTGGTGATTAATTTTGGATTAACAGATTAATAAGTGGATAGCAAAAGGTGCTTACAGGAGATTCTTTAAAGTTTTTTTTTTTTTTTTTTTACAAAAATTGACCCAGGGGAAGCTAAAACTGCCACATGATGAGTTTTTTTTACATCTTAAATGTAAAATGTGTATATATTTTTGTCTAATTTTGGCTTAATTACTGCTCTGAATACGTTTTCTTTCAGCAAACGGCCTTTTTAGAGTCTGGGTTACTAAATTAGTTAACGGTTATTTCAATAATTGATTCCTCACGATTAATCAGATTGTTTCATTCCTACTTGGAATAACAGATACATTTTCCTAGTTCAGAAGCTCTGCATGTACAGTACCATTCATGTTTCACCAATCCCTGTTACTTTACAATGCCTATAAAACCTGTCCAGGCGAACCCAACATGCCACAGACTGAGCAGCAGATCCGAGTGAAAAGCAGCAAAGGCGTTTGAAATGAAGGATACGAAGGGAACATTTTCCTGGTTGTGCAGGAAGTGTGTGACAGCGATGGGACAGTTGCTGATCCACGTGCAGAGCAGCATGAGAAGGCCCACCCTGGTCTGTACTTTGCTGCCCTGCAGAAAGAGAGGAAGAGGAAGCAAACGTTTACAAACATCAGCGAGCTGCCGAAGAACAATCCCACCATTTTGTTCTAAAAACACTTCTTCGTAAGGAAATGTGATCAAATTGAAGGCTTTCAAGTAACAGGAGGATATATTTCTTAAAAAATGGACAGAGTAGCAAAATAAACCCCAAAAACAAGTATAAAATAATAATTTTTAAAAAATAATCCAATTTATTATCCTGACATAAAGGAGGTAAAAAACAATGTGACTAAATGAGCAAAAAGTTTTAATGTTTGTTTTTTCAGTTTCCAGGATTGGGTTAATGTATCAAAGCAATGCTTCAAAAGGCATCCACTGTTAATATGGTTATAATTAGTTAAAACAGGTTAGCATGCAGGCCTGCAGGGCAAAACTCATTTAAAAAGAATCACAAATTCAAAATTTTATTGTTTTGCAAATTAAAGCTGAATGTTTAATTTGTAGCAAAACATGCAAAACAAAATCAACTAAATATGCTTTTCAGAAAGGAATCAATTCAATCCTATTAAAATCTGTTTTTTCCCCAAGTAGTAGTATATTTTAAGCAGAAAAGAAGCTGTAGTGAAAAAGGTGCAGTGATGTAAAAATAAAAAATGTTGTATAAGCTGCATCCTGATGCATTAAAAATGCTCAGCATGCCTTACGACGAGAAGAAACATGTTTCCTGCTGTGAAAACGATGGTAGACAAGCGTAATTAACGACAATCTGAGCAACGGAAGAGCAGAGGGGAAAATAAAACTTATCTGCTTTAAGTAATACAACAACTTTGAAAAGTCACCTTCTCAGCTTTAGTCTCCAAATGTGACGAAATGCAAAAAATGAGGAAACAGAAAAATGAAACAAGAATCAAAAAAGCAAACTATGACGTGTTCCAAGTTTAAAGGCCAAAAACAAAAACTCAAATCAGTTTATTTCATGTGGACGATCAGAATTAACTTTTATTTTAATCAAAATAGCAGCAAAATATAGATTTTTTTTTTAATTTCCAGAATCTAGGTTGCGCAAATCTGACCAAAATCTGATTTTTTCACGGCAGTTTGAACGACCCCATGCTGATCTTTTCACCACAAAAAAAAAAAAAAAAAAAGATTTTTGCCACTTCCATAGTGGTATTAATTCTGATATGTGTCCAGTCATTTTCAACGCGTCTGCAGTCAGAACGGTCATATCGCAGCTAGTCTGACTTTTTGAACCATTGTGTTTCTCAGAAAGAAATCAGTTGGTTTTAACCAAAAATGCACCAGAGAGACAAAGGAACACAGTTTATGTGAAAGTGAGACCTCTTGTTTATACACCAGCTTTGTTTGGTTACCTGCTGAACTATTTCAAGTAAAGTCAACACCATAAAAATTTACATACGTTACCCTGCCTTATTAATGTACACTACCTTCTGTAAGTGCTAGTTTTTAATTGAAAAAAACAATTTGGAAAAGTTATTTTTCTAATTGAATTTGTTATTTTTGAATGATGTTATTAATTTTTCATTTTAACCTTTAAAATATCAGAATCTGTACATAACTTTGTATTTTGGTTCTTTTGATTGACATTTTAAATATTAAATCAGTTTTATTTCAGCTTCGTTTGCTAACATGTGACCTCATCATCCAACATGTCTACTGAGGCGACAGCGAAGGCGTTAGACAAATACGATGAGTTCCCAGGACGGAAATACTGCAGACTAAAAAGAACGTCATTTGTCAGGCAGATGTTTAAAACAGACTTTGCAGATTTAGTGTGTTGTGAAGGTTTAGCATTTATAAATTTGTATTTGTTTGTATCTTCTGGTCAGTGAAAGCACCAGTGTATAAAAGGTCTTAATTTGCATAACAGTCAAAATCAAGTTAATGAAGAGAAGTGCTTTTTCCCACAAAGGTTCTGTTGGACCCTACTGGAATTTAAAAAGTAACTTGTGAAAAAAAGACTTGTATAATTAAGAACAATAACAGTAAAAGCTCCTAACTTGAAGAGGAAAAGACCCCAGATTAGCCACAGCACAAACTTCCTCAGAGCTGGTAGCACAGAGACAACTGACATGATGCCGACTCCGCCCCCATGAGAAAGTAAAGCAAACCCCTAACAAACAGTGTTGTAATAGCAGAGGTAGTGGAACTTAATGTGGTACCAAAGACATGCTTTGAGTAATTTTTGCCTTACCAGCCAACACTGAGTCAAAGATGAAGGCCCAGAAAATAAATAAAAAAAGAAGTCGTATATCAGGTCTATAAAGTTTTTATCGAGAAACAACAGAGAAATCAACGATAAAGCCTAAGAGGAAAAATGATGAGGGACATAACGCCTCACTGGATGAGAGTGTGAACGCATTTTACACGTAGAAAATGGGTGAGTAATAATTTAATGAAACCGGCTTGTGAAAATCTGCCATCAGGAAAATGCACAAAAAATAAACAGTAGCATAGAACGGTGCTCAAATGTAAATACTGCAGTTACTGCAGCACGTTTACATGCTGCCATAGAGCCAACATTGAAATCTACACACATAAAATCAAGCATGACTACCTTCGCTTAATAATCTTTGATTTGACTATCAATAAGTGTCGCTAAGACAAAAAAATTGGATGTTTACTGCCAGTTACCTTCATTCAGATGAACATGTGGCAGCTGCTGTTGATCACAGCTTCATTCAACCGGACATGAGGTCGGCTGAAGGAATTGATCCATTTCTTGCGTTACTCCAGACTCTGTTTGGGTTTTTGAAACCTAAGAAATGGCAATCCACCCTCTAATTGGCCATGATTTCCTATTATTTTCCTCAAATTGTCTCTGACTTCAGCGTGTTTGCTATGATAAGCATTAGTAATGTTGTTGAAGGTCAGCTCCTTCAGATAAGCGGTGCGTCTACTTCCAGGCAAATTGGGACCGTCAATTGGTCAGCTGATGAAAACCGCCCTGGAATGATTGATGGAGGATTGCGCTACGTCCACATGAGGGCGAAGTCGGCGTCATGTCAATTCAGCTGTTAGGACGACAACAACCAGCAGCAGCAGTAGTTTCTGTTGCTCTCCTGTCTACCTCTCTTGATTTCTGTGCGTTTCTGTGGTCAGTCAATGCAACCAAAACGTCTGTGTTACACTAACGAGGCTTTACATTAGGGGCAAAGCAGGGCGCTAAAAGGTTAAAGGGAAGCAAGTTTCACCAACATGTGGGAACCCAGAGACCCCTACTATTCAGACCAAGCCAAAAACGACCACCCAAAGACTCAAAAACACACACATACACACTGCAGAGGCACTTTACTCACCCGCCGGACGATCTTATCTCCCTGAAAAACCACAACTTCATTGAGCTTCGCATTTCAGAGTTACAGCTACGCTACCCAGAAGCACCCAGCCTGAAAGAGGCGAAGGCAGGAGGCGTTCTCTACCTGAGACAGGATGTTGGTGCACTGCTGCAGCAGTGAGACTGGTGGCTTGCCCAGGCTGGTGGCGAGCTGCACCCTGAGCAGCTGCTCCTTCTGGGTCAGGTTGTCCTGCAGCGTGTGAGCTAAAGCCACGGCCGCACACCAGTTAGACATAGAGTCCGCCGAGAACAGGCCGCCGCACAGCAGCTGGCCGGCTGAGATGGAGTTAGCTGCAGGAAACAAAGAGGAAGAATGAGTAAGGGTGTGTTCACACCAGCCCTGTTTGGTCCACTTTAATCAAACTCCAGTCCGTTTGTCTTGGAAGTCTGGTTCAGATCGGGAGGTGTGAATCCCCAATCGACCAAAAACATCAACTCTGGTTAGCCTAAAAACCCTCTATCCCAGTTCGGCAGAAGTGGACTCTGGTGGTTTGAATGCATATGTGAACGCAAGTGGACCGGAGGCTGCTTCAAAAACAGGAAATGGACTGCAGCGCAGGGAATTCTGGGTAGATACAACCAAAACAAACTCCAGCAAGAGAAGTGGCTCTTTGGTCTTTTACCAAAGAATTGATGATTTTAATGATGGCATTTGACAAAATGTAATGCATGTTACTGGTTTTTCTCAATTGTTGACAATGTGATGTTTATATGATGTAAAGCACTTTGAACTAGGGATGCGCCAATTCATCGGCCAGCTGATTTCCTTCATTTTGGGAGATCGGTGATGGGCTGATACTTACATGTGGAGCCGATCTTCTCCACCAATCGTATCTACCTCAGCAAAAGTCTAACAATCAACCACTGTCCTAGGTCGAACCACGAAGGATGTGAACAGGAAACGTACCGTCGATGGTGGAGGGCAGCAGGGTTGCGACAATCTCCCCCTGACCTTTCTGGTTCTTGAAAAGGAAGCACTGGAAGCAGTAGAGGACGGCGCAGCGCAGCACGAACGGCTGCCTCTCGTTCACCATGGACATCAGCAGAACCACGATGGCCGGCCTGAAACACAAACATCCCAACACATCCCTGAAGGAAAACCAGTCAGAAGCGGGTGGAAGCTTCAAAACATGGCGGCTGCGTTTACCTCGGAGGGTTCGACGGGGCATTGACAGAAGCAAAGTAGTCCTGGTTGACCTGTGACCCCCTGATGACCTCAGAAACTGTGTTTATTGTCTGAAAGGAAAAACACACGAATCAGAACTTGGAAACGTTTTGGAACGTCTTCACATTTCAGTCATGTTATTAATGGAAAATTCAAGGTATTTTATTGGGATTTGATGCAAAGGACCAACTTGGATCTGAAAAGTGTGGCAAGCATGTGCATTCACACCGTAGAATAAACAGAACTAGTTGTAACTGCAACGTTGCACATCTACAGACACAAAATATCTCAAAGCACAGTTAAGGCTGTCGCAATTAATCAATTAATCGCATATTAAATTAAAATTCTGATTATTTCTTGAAGAGTAATTTTGTTTTTTAATTTTATTTATGGTTTTGGTTTTAAGGAGGTTTTTTCCCCCATTTAAGTTATCATTTTTGTTTTTTTGTATTTTGAATATTTAAAATATCTTCCAGCTCCAGTCGTAAGTGTTCTTTACAATATGAAAGTTTATTGGTCTTTGAGAGGGTGTACTTACATGCCATTACCAACAAATTACTAGAAAATGGTCTCAAAACATAATTTATCACCATCCATCTGTCCCTCAAGGATTTTGCAACTATTTTTGTGATTTTTCTACAATCAAAAACACTGATTTTGTTGTGCCACTTTAGAAATATTTTAAATCGGTTACTAAAGTAATTTTTCATGGCAGGCCTTGTCACAACATGGTAAATGTCACATAGTTTTGCCAGGTGGGGTTATGAATGTGTAATCTGAGAGTCCTGTTGGGATTATTACCTCTGTGAGGATGTCAGCAGGGACACCGGTCGCCATGAGGATGGTACACAGCTGCTGCAACAGGCCACACTGATACATGCACTTCTGACAGCTGGCTGTGGCTCCAGGTGAGTTCACAGGTGACACCATCACTCGCACCAGCTGGGATAATGTTAAAAAAAATATTTATAAAAAACAGTCATATGTGCTGCTAAATCTAATCTGGTTGCTAATTTAGATTGAAAGCAACAGTTTGTGCGCTACCTGCAGCATGAGGTGGAGGTTTGTGACTTTCTGTGCTGACCAGCCGGAGTTATCGTCCCCGACTTCGAACCACGGCTTCATCCTCTGGATGTAGGAGCCCTCCTTGAAGAAGTTCTGGTTGGAGCTGTTGTTCTTCAGCAGGTTCAGAAGCAACAGCAAACAATCCTCAACCACGATGCCTGGACACAGAGACGACAACGGATCAGGAAATGAAGAGGAGCCTCCAAGATGTCTGGCTTCAAGTCATTTTATCAACAGCTTCTGGGCTTTCTGAGGAAAATTCAAAGTTCCTGTTTGACATTTGGCCCCTCATTTCCAGCTGTACAATTAGCATGAATCAACTTGGTGAGATTTTTGAAGATTTAACTAAACAAATTGTGCCCAAAAATACAATTTAAATGGGTTCTGTGCTAAATTGTTTGGTGTGTTGACAACACTGGCAAATCCTTGATTTTTTTAAAGCTAAATGACCAGAGTTTTTTTTTTTTGTTTTACTCTGGTACTTTTTACAAAAAACATTTACTTTTTTACAAAAAACATCCACATCAGATGCTGGTTTGAATGTGTGCAAAAAGCAAGACCATTTTAAAATATAAAACTGATGCTCATTGTGCCTTTAAATACTTTATTTTTGTAAACTATCTTGGTGAAAAAAGCCAAATTCTTATGCTCAAGACTGATCTACAAAAGCAAATAAAAGGATAACATCCAAGGTATAAAATAAGCCTAGGTGCATGATTTTTATTATTATTATAATTCAAAGATCCCTCTCCTAAATGTTTGAGACGTTACTGGTGAAAGAACAAGTCACAATGAAACATTCATTTTTGCCTATATGTACTTATGCCTACCAATGATGTATTTCTACTGAAAATATGTCATTATATGGAACAACAACCAACTTTAACCGTTCAGTAGTCTTTTCACCTCCATCACTGCTGCCTTCTTCTGTGATGATATCCAGCAGACGTTCGAAGGCGTTCTCAAACGCCACGATCTTCTGAATGGCTGCGTTGCCTTTGGTCAGCTGCTGAAGCAGCAATAAGCCCTAACGGAGAGCAAACAGCATTTAGCAGCTGTCACAGATCCGTTCAGACATCTACTTTCTGAAGAACTTCACAAATACACTCACATCATTACGAATTACTTCCCTCGAGTCCGCCAAAAGGTCCATTAACCTGGAAACACCTATGGAAGGAAATAAATGTATTTCTCAATCAAATATGAATGAATAAACAGCTTTCAAGTAAAGCTGGAACAATTAAAAGGATTAATCGTGATGAATGGATTATTGAAATAATCGTCAACTAATTTAGCAATCTATGACAGGAGTAAACAAACCCAAAATCAGCAATTTGGTGAAAAACAGATCTGGAGCAGTAATTAATCCAAATCTCATTTAAGGTAAAAACATCTGTGTCCGCAAACATGTTTTAGCAAAACATCCTCAAGTTTTAGCTTCACGCACTTCCTATTTACTAAAGGAATGGTATTCCATTTTCGGTATTAAAATGTTTGTTTTCTTATTTAAAAAGAAATTGAATTATTAATTTGCATCTTTTAATGCACTTCTATTACTGTATAAAACAGGCTTATGTGGTTAAATAAAAAAATCTGTAGTATGTGCCATTTTTGAACCCGATTAATCGCCAGACCAATCCATCAAACGGCAAAAATAATTGATTAATCGCCATAATCAGGGTGAAATAAGGAGGAATTTGTTAACATAAGAGTGACTCCTAAAGGCCTGGGAGTGAAAACATGAAGCGTTGGAGGAAACTCACCCATCGGGCTGACGAGAATGATCCCCTGCACCTGGACACCCTGGTTCTTTAGGAGAGCAGTAAGCAGCTTTACGCCGGGCCAGCGCACATGGAAGTCAAACTCCTTTAAAACAAAAAACATTAAAACCAGTGCACTGAAGTGCAGACAGCTCTGCAGCTCAGACATGGCTGGCGTGTTGCTACTGCAGTACCTCTAGCATGGTGAGGAGCAGGGTTATATGCTCTGGGTCCTGGATGAATGTCTCTGTGAATTGGGTCCCAAGGTCGTCGGCCTGCTTCTGAGCGTTTTCATCTGGCAAAAGGAAATTCCCCGTCTCAGATAAGATTTTATTTAAATACTCCAAGAGGAAGCACACTTTCTGGAAGCTCCCATCTTTAAGGAATATGGTGGTAGTTTATAAAAAGCAGCTCGGTTTCATGATGGAAATGGATCGTAAAAAAAGGTTTCTTCCACAGTTATGAACAACGATATCAGTTCTGATCTGTGCTGATCTGTCATAAACTGTGGCTGAGCCAAGACGATACGGGATGAGATTCACACTCCACTGGACTACCAACTTTACATGGTTCAGTATTCACAGATTTTTTCTAAGGAATGTAATTAAGTTATTCATGGATTTTTTTCAGACAAGTAGAGCATCCCTGAAAAAATGTAGTTTGGGAGGTTAAAATATTTAAGTGCAATGCTACTTCACATGCTACTGGCTGGTGTTTAGAAAGCAGCCAATCAAGGAGTGCCATTCATTTTCCTTGGTACTGATTCGCTGAACTATAGGAAGACTAGATATTACCTTCTACACAGCGTGGCTAAGAAGGTTTCCCTTCTGCATATTGGGATATATTTGGTTGATATATTTGGAATGTGGACAGATAAATATTTAGTTTCTGTTCCTGTAAATCCACAGATTTTAATAACTTAAAAAACAAAACATATTTAGAACTGAGATGATCTGAAAAAGTAAATACTTGACAAAGCAGTGAATAAATAAAAGATTAACTACAGAAAAATATAAGCATTTACTGCAAAAAACAAAGAAAGACTGAGAACTTTGAGGAAAGATTCAGCAGAGAGCACTGTGGGGTTAGCAAAGCGTTGGTGTTGCAACTCAAACACCTTCCTGGATTTTAGGGAACCTGGTTACATGTTTAGTAATTTATCAACAGCAAAGGTGCATTTATTTCATTAATGAACAAACATAACATGGTTTCCTGTGACAGAGAGGGAAGGATGAGAAGGAGGAAATGCTTTTAATTTATGCCACAGCTGACAGATTCTCATGAAGGCATGCCATAAAAACACATCTGAGTAATTCAAATGTTTTTTAGGATGCTCAAAGTGTAAAAAATCCCAACAAAAATAATAATGAACTTCCTTCCACATCCAAAACAAAAGGATCATGGATAACTGGCAGGAGTTGGTGGTTAAAAGTGTTTGCATCATGCACAGTAAAATATTTTTACCTTCTGATTCATCTGTAGGGTTAACACATGAAAGAGAAGAGAGAGACAAGAGTCTTTACATGACGCAGTCACGGTCCATATATGGAGGAGAGGATGCAGACTGAATGTGGTCCAACTCAACACTTTTACACATGCAAACATAAAACTGAATCTGCAGCTGCCAAACACTGAGGAGGAACAATATTCTGACTAGGTTTTGCTTAATAGTGAAACTTTGCAGCAATTTCTGCCTCGTGTGATGAGATGAAACCAGTAGTACCTTGTTCTTCCTCCTCATCGTTACTGATTACATTGTAGAGTGTGTCCAAAGCATATCCCAGGATTTCTGAGTCAGATCTGTTGAATTTAAAAGAGCAACATCATTTACTAAACGCATTTCATTTCTAAATTGTGAAACCAAGCAAATATAAACAATTGCTGCAACACACTGCACTAAAACTCTAGAAGCAGGCTCTCTGTAGGTCAACATTTAACCTACAAAGAGCCTGTAGGTAAAATCATTGTTTGGTCAGTAGAAGATTTTTTTTTTTTACTAAATAAAGTTGAAAATGGGAAAAGAAGAGCAAAAAGGAAGCCTATCTGGGGCAGCTACTATCCAGTGGTTTGCTACAATCAGCATGTGAATGACTGAATGTAGCGAGAAGCACTTTGGAGGCCTGAGGACTTGATAAAACGCTATACAAGTGCAGGCCATTTGACAATCATTCTCCACATTAAAATTAATTCAAATGAATACAAATTGAGACTGCTTGGTTTTATGTGAACAACCTTAAAAGTGGCAGCTTCGATCAAACACTTATTTCCTCCCTCCTGCAAAATCTGTTATTTTTGCAATGCACAGTAATATTGCAGAACCTTTGCATACCTGTCGGTTTGCAGAATGTTTATCAAGTGATCCATTGCCTGTGTGCCAACTTCCATACGATATTTCTGCAAAAAGGTCAACATTTCAGTTTCTGGAAACAGTACTCCACCGTACCTTTCAGAAAGATAACCAGATCTTTTTTTTATTTTTACCTTTGAGAGAGACTTAAGCGCTCGGACGGCATCTCTGCGATCTTCTAGTAGTGTTGAAGAGGCGACCCGGTCACACAGTTTCTGAATCTGATCACAGGGAGAAAAAAACAACTAATGATTTGTGAAATAAATTAATTTCTTCTACAACAGTATCGGTGTTATATTTAAATAACTTTTGGTGGCAGTTGATAAAGTATGGGTGTATTTTCTTACTGTAAGCCTTAAGATGAGAGAAGTTGGGTGTTGATGTTTTAAACAAAAACATCAACAGTTTCTGTTGAAAAACCTGCTTAGTTTAAGTTAACCTATTTATGTTTAACTACTTCAAGAAATACACTCTTATTTCATTATATTTACTATTTTTGTTAAGTATTGTTTATAGATTTAGATTGCTAGCTCCAACCTCTGTTTTTATAACTATTTATTATTTGACTAAATTCTGTTTAGAATTTATGCCCTTTCTCATATGAGAAGCGCTCTGTAAATAAAATCTGATAATTACATGATAATTATGGTAGTCAGCAAACAATTATTGGTTTTGAAATCAAAAGCACATGTAGCGCAAAAAGCTTCATTACTTTGAACAGACTATGGCAGCAACACACATCAATACTTTGCTGTAGACCTGCAGGGAAGTATCTGCTGATTGTGTTTTTAGGTTTACAAAGCGGAATTACCAGTTGATCCATCTCTAGATCTGATCAAAGTTCTTAGTAACGTTTTGCTGCTGGTGATACAGTTTGTGATTCAAACGAATTTTGGATGAAGAATTAGAAATTAAACACTGGTGATATAAAACTTCTTTTGGCCATTTTCTTCGACACAGCTTTTAACTGTTTGAGGTCAGTTAGCAGGTAAATTTCACGCATCAACAGCTAACTGACAGATTTGCTACTTTTGCTATGTAGCATGGCTAGCTTTCTGATTCAGAAAGGTCTGCCTCTCATAAGTAATTTGAATGATATAAAGAAAAAAATAGAGATTAACATTAAAAGACAAGTGTATGTTAGTGTGCATACATTATTGAGCAATGTGTTTTTACTTTAGGTGAAATGTATGAGCCACAGACCGAACAAGCAGCTAATTGATTAGCATTCCTACCGTCTCCGCTCCTGACGGTTGCGGCCCGGCAGTCTGCCCTCCCATCACTCCCCTGAAGAAATTCATCCTGAATATTAAATATCCAATGCTTCTGAGTGTTTAAAGGAAGAACCTTGTGCCTCAGTTACAAGAAAGTGTTTATAAAAACGAGAAATGAAGGGCTTTGGTCGAATTTCCTTCACTGACCGAGCCCCGGAACACAAATGAGGCCAGTGCGCATGCGCGCAGACGTGGCGATACGTGGCCGATCAGCAGCTGAAGGAGCTGATTATTTAAAGGGCCAGTACACTCATCGATTTTTAAAATGCTATTCCAACCTGGTTTGGTATATAAAATATATTGCAGTCTTTAGACTTTTTAGACTTTTTCTTTTGACTTTTATGCTCTGAAATAAATATTTTTAAACCAACTCCCATTCATTTATAATATGATCAAAGACTAAAGCCTCTTCAGAAAACTTTAGTGGTGGTAATGAACTAATTTTCTTACCAGTCCTAACGAATATTGTGAAGTGAACCAGTAACAAAATTTGTAATGATCCAAATTAAAATTATTTCTCCATCTAATGGCGCTGGTGGGGGAGCCTTTGTTTCCCTAATAACTCCTCAGGTCAGACTAATTATTTTCTAAGTTAGTAGAAAGAAATTGGCAAGAAAGTAGAGTTACAAATTTCAAACTGCATCTTAACTCTCTTGCAAATAAAACTGACTATGAATCTTGAATCATCTTACAACACTAAACAAGGTGATAATGTCTGAACTTTTGTTTAGATGCAAGTCCAGTGAAGCATTTAAAAGTGGACGCCTGCAGTAAACAAATATTATTCTACCACTGATAGTGAAATTTGGGTTGTAAGTTCAGAAGATACCAGAAGACATAAATGCCATAGCTTTTCATTCTGTCATTTCTATTTTAGGCACTGATATTTATCACGGTGGTTTAACCCTAACCCTTAATATGCAAGATAACTGTCCTAACAACATTCACAAATATGCGTTCAGGTAGGCCAGAGATTAATAATACTTTAATCAAAAGCTTTGCATATTATTTTATCAGTCAAGTAGTTTTATTTGTATTTGGCCAATTTACATTTATGTGAAAATATGCTTAATATTGAATTTCAAGAAGTTTTCATCAAATACAGATGTGCATATTCATTCATATTTTAAAAGTTTAACAGTTTTATCGATATATCTGCCTCAATTGGTCCTTTAAAGGTAATACAGATCTTCTATAAGTCTAAAAGGTTCTTTATAAAATCAAGAAAACCCTGAGCATCCTCTTCATGAGACTGTCTAAAACAGTGTCTTCAGTCAGAGGCTTCTTAAGACTCCCTGGAATACAGACTGCTGGAGGAGATCCTTCCAACAACTTTCAAAACCTTTCAACAACTTAAAAAAAAATCTTGGATAAAATGAGTTACATTTAATTTCACTTTGGGACATATAAAGAATGTTTTTATCTGATTTGTATACTTCATAGCAATCCTGGTTCTAAGATGTGACACAGGATGACTGATGGGACAATAAGGCATCCAGAACATTACAACCACAAAATTCACTTAATTTTATTTGAAAAATACAAATTATAAACATCAACCTGGTTGTACTCTTTATGTTCTCGGGATGCTTTATATCAGAAGTGCTGATTAAAACTTGTCAAGACTCTGCAAAAGACTTCAGAATACAAATGCACGCCACACTTTCCAGATTTTTAACGTTTTAATTGCTATAAAAGAAAGGTAGGTATCATTTTTCTTCACAATTATAAACTGTTTATCACATGAAAGCCCAACAAAATGCTTTGAAGTTTGTGGTTGTAATGTTAAAAAAGGCAAAGTAAGCATAAAATTTAGGAATGCTGTGTATCTTTCATACAGGCAAATCAAATACAGAGCAGAGCTTTATTACGTCACAGGAAGGAGAAAAAAAAAGAAACATTTAACATTGTACGGCCTGCAGACATCACTCACTCATTTATTTAATGTTTAAATTTTCAGCACCACCTCTAAATTAGCTGTAAACATGACAATGTGAGCAGAACTGTTATCAGTAGTTTATTGTATTTAAATCCAACACATTCAGGATTGCAAAAGCGGGAAAATAAAATAAAATCTAAACTAAAAACAACTAAAAACGAAAGAAATCTCCATCTGGAACATTTTGCACTAGAATAAAAGTTAAAGGGTAAACACAGTAAAACTATGATGGCAGCCAGCTGTTCACCACAACTGCTAATGCCAGCAAGGCATTTCTATTTTCACTCAAAGGGCTGGAATGGTTCGATTTAATGAGGGGGGAATAAATTCACAGATTCACTTTTACCTTGGACAGGATTTGGACACAAAAGAACAATCTGGGAGACCTACAGACTGGAAATTTAACAACGTTTCCATTAGTAATATGTATTGTTCTGAAAGCATGATGGCTCTTCTTCACCCTCTCTCCTCATGGACCACAGCTGTAATGCTAACAGCCATGACTGTATGCTGCTATGATGACAACTGTAAAGTCCAATTAGCTTACAGCCTGTTGTGACAACAGTGACAAGTCCAGCTGTAAAACTGACAGATGTAAAGTCGAATTTCAGTGTTTCAGCTGTAAAGTCCAATTACCTTACAGCCATGGTTTTAAGCTACTATAATGACGGAAGTACAAGCCAATTAGCTTAAAGCAATGACTGTGAGTGTGACTGTGTTACAGCCATGGCTGTAAGCTACAGTAAGTTGAATAAGTACAGTCCAGCTGTAAAATGTACAGCTGTAAAGTCTGATCAGCTTACAGAAACAGCTGTGAGCAACTATGACAGATGTAAAATCCAATTAGCTTACAGCCACATCTGTAAGCTGTTATGAGACTTGAAACAAGTCCAGCTGTAATCGAATGACAGATGTAAAGTCCAATTAGTTTACAGCCATCTCAAGTATTGAGAGTTACGCCACAAGTGAGAGCAATCAATTCCACATTTTGCCTTTTCCATTGCTGGAGAAATTTTCTTGAAAGTCCTGTTGTTTAGATTGTCCCAAGAACCTTAAAATTAGTGCAACACCAGCCAGACGAGGAAGACCAAAGTATATTTGTCAAAGAATAAGGAAAAAAAAAAGAAAAATGCTACATCATTTAACTTTTTCATTTCAGTGCAACACAAAATAATCACAAAAATAAAAAAAAGAAACTAAACGCTCATGTCTTCCTTTCCCCGACAGAAACCGAAGTCTTCCCTCCCTACCGGATGATTCAAAAGCAAAAAACTGATCCCTTCAGATGAGCGCAGCGCTGACTAGTATGGCCGTAAGCAGGAAAAACAAAACAAAAAGACGACTACAAATGAGCACAGTGAATGATCAGCATATGAAAATACAAATGCATTGACAATAGAAAAATGTCCACAATTATTTACTCGACTGAAGGCTGCAGGTACAAAACTGTTGGGAAACTTGTGAGTCCAAGGATTATCCAAAGTGCTGCCATGAGGTGCAAAAATAAAAAGGTTTAACAGTAAACCAAGCCCATGTCGAGCCGCGATCTGGTAAACCGGGGTTAAACATTTCATCGTGTACTGTACCTTTTGTTTTTGGGAGGAGGGTAAAAAGTTCCTTAGATGCATTTATTAACCATTTAACAAAACTGCAGGCACCGGTTGTCTCTACAAAACCCAAAAGAAGACAAATTACAGCAAATAAAAATGTACAAAGCTCACAGCAGATCATCTTAGGTAGTCGAACAGTACAGAAAGAGTGAAATCTGCCCCTGAAGAACGTAAATCCTATGAATACTGTTATTTCCGTCTGCTCCCAGCAGAGAATAGTTCAAAAAGAAGCAGCTCTTTTCACCCCGAACCGCTTTGCTCTTCAGTAAGACTTGAAAAGGTGAACTAGAAGGCACCATCATGCTTTTTTCTTTTTTTTTTCTCATTAAAATCGAGTTGAGAGAAAATAAAAATTATACACAGAAAAGCAAAGCATACAGTAAACCGTGATTTTTGCTGTACATTTATTCGGTTACTCCGCACTCATGACAGGAAGGGAGGAAAGGTTTCGCTCATCCCCGATTCGCAGTCAAGAAAAACAAAAAGCTGGAATCAAAATATAAACAGCAAGCCGCCATCATCCATCTGTTGCTCCTCTGACCCCCGGCCCCACTCACTCATTTGGTGAAAGGTCAAGTCCAGGTTGAACTTAATTTACAAATGACAAAAATAAAATAAAAAATAAAAATAATGTTGTAGATTTGCTTGTCCATCCAGCAGTGACTGCAGAGTAGTTTTGGGTCAAACATTTGAGAAGTACATCGGTCACAGCAGCCAGGCTGTTTCGCTTCTCTCCAGCCGCGGTCCAACGAGGACGACAACGTAAAGAGACAGAAGTACCTTTAGTGCATTATGCAAATCTGTAGCAGTGGTCTCTTTTTGTCTGAAAACGGGAAAAGATGAAAGGCTTTTCCTCTGAAACTGCAACCAATTCTGCATCTCACTCTTCCTCGACAATACCGGGCAGAAAACTACAATAGAAAATGTGCAATTGAGGAATTTCATGAATCAACGCCTCAAGTTTAAGTCAAGGTTTATAATCTCTGAAAGTGATGGGCTGCACTGCTGTAGATTAAAAGTCTCATCAGTCCCTCCTAAATGTGGCAGATTAGTCCTGCTTGGGTTGCCTTTATTCACAAATTGACAAATTCAAGTTTGAACTCTTGAAATACCCCCAAAAAAGGATGCTCAGCTCACAACTAATCAGCGAACATTTTTTGTTTTTTTTCTGTTTGCTTGTTTTGTCTATTTCACAAAGTGGTTGACAGACTGTGTCACATTCCAAAGCAAGAAGAGGAAAAAAAAGCCAAAAAGAAAAAGAATACACCACCAAATATATACTTTATACATTTATGAGTACGGCTGAGGATGAGGAACACGATACTACTTCCACACTTCAGGTGGCGCTCTTCTCAGCGGCGCTGCGGGGTGAAGCGGTTCTCCCCCTGCCCGCCGGAGCCTCTTCCGGGACCCATGCTGGGTTTGGGGGCCATGCCGCCTCGGGGCGGCGGGCCCCTCCCGTCGCGTTCGCGCATCATTCCGGGTCCCACGATGCCTCGCGGACCTCCAGGGCCCCGGTCGCTGCGCCGCATGTCCCGACGGTCGTCTCCGCCTCGGGTCTCCCGCTCGCGCACGGCCCTCGTCTTCTTCTCCTCCACGTTCAGACGCACCTCACCTCGGAACATGATGGGCTGCAGAAAGAGGG